AACTCGTCCGAAATCGATTTACAAGTCACTGAGAACGGAGGCTTTTTCTTCGCAGGATTTTGACCGTTTCACTCCGTTCTTTCGCCATTTCCCCACTATATAGCGCCCTACTAGCATTTCAGGCCGAGTGGGAAACATCGTGCCAACGGAGGCACAGCTTTCGGTAAGATTTTACCTGTCTGGGATAACTGCAGTCATGTCTTCTTTGTTCAGCTTAAAACAGGTTGAAACATGCAGCCATGCCCTCCCCGTCTCCGGAGTTCGGAGTGGAAGTGTCGAGCGTCATGACCACCTACACACGAGAACAGCGCTGTACCCTCTACGCTCTATGGCTCGGTATAGGTTTACATCCCAGGGATGGAGTGGGCGCGGCCGCGTACTTCACTTGAACACAATCTGGGGTGCGTTGTTCGTGGGATATTTCCATTTGATACAGGTGTTATCCTACCTCCCACTAAACAAAGTTATGGTTGCAACTGTTCTGAAACTGCAATATCCCTCCAAAAACGCAGCTGCCGCCACGTTTAAATGAAGTACGCAGCCACGGACTCTATATCTCTAAGATAAACAGTTGGCAGTAGCTTACGAAATCCCCCTTCACCCTCAAGCGAGCTGGCACCTATTATAAAAGCAGGTGCCAGCTCGCTTGAGGGTGAAGGGGGATTTCGTAAGCTACTGCCAACTGTATATCTTAAAGTCACTGTAATGGACTTACTGGGGACCCAAAAAACAAGTTTTTGACATGTTGTTTAGTTACACGCGGTGAATTACCACCCTCGAGTTACGATTTTGATGTTTGCCAAGAACGTTGAAGCAAATACTCAAAAGTCGCAGAGTACGGTAAGTGACAAGGACCGACACAACACAAGAACAAATAAATTGATCTCTTACCATATCAAAAAGCACGTCAATCTTCGCCTTCAGGATCATCTGAGCGTTACTGTGAAAGTCAAAGTTTGTTGTGTTGCTACCGTAGACCGTAATTGGATTTGTCTGTTGATAGTTATCGTTTCGTACAATAGCTGGGATGCGATACAGTGGTTCCGGTGGTGAACAGGATGAATACGACTGAAGTGCCAAGATTCAACATTACTACAATAGATCTTTCAAGAAATTTTATCACGAAATTTTACCGTATTAGAGCCAGGATTAGACGATGAAGGCTTCGGATTTTCGAATGGATCGGCTGGATTGTTTGATTGCACCACTGAATCTGGACACTTGACATTGACTTATTTACGGATATAAAGGGAAATTTCCCTACAACTCACTTTCCTTCTTCATACCAACCATAAGGCATTTCTCGAAACGGCAATATCGACATGAGTAGCGCTTCTCTAGAAAATTGTTTAATGCAAAATATCCTCATATTGAACAGGAAATAAAAAATCTCTTAATTGTTCCTGATAAATCCATAGTGACCCATTTCAGGGGCCGCATGCACTGACCGTAAGTTTGGAATAGCTTAATCAGCACTCCGCCGTAAAATTCGGAGGAGAGCGACCATTCCTCAGCTGCTGCGTTCATACTTTGCGGCAGCGTCCGCCAGCGTCCTCCAGCGATCATTGGGCAAGTCACCGACTAGGAATCATAAATGTGGATCTAGCGCCTGCCAGCGTCTCGAGGGCTAGAGTATAGATATCCATCTATCGCTTGCCAGCGTCTATCAGCGTCCAACAGCGCCCACTACCGTTCACCAGACGACCGCTAATAGAGAGTATGGGGAGTAGGAGAGTAACAAACAACAGGATCAGAGGTTCCAGCTGTTTGCTAATCTCCTACCTCGCCATACTCTCTAATCCCGGTCGCTGGTGAACGCTGGTGGACGCTGGTAGACGCTGGCAGACGCTAGATCGATACCTACACTTCCTAGCCCTCGAGACGCTGGCAGACGCTGGTGGACGCTGGCAGGCGCTAGATCGATATCTATACTTTCCTAGTCGCTGACGCTGCCGGACGCTTGGAACGCTGATGGTCGCTGGTAGACGCTGGTGGACGGTGCCGCAAAGTAGGAACGCGGACTCACTACGAATCTAATCATCCCCTCGCCTTTTTGTCCAGTAATACCTTCTTCTTGTAACACCGTTTTGAAATAATTGCGGGGCAGTCTAGTTGACCACGCGGGGGCACGGGGGCACACGCTCAGAAGGAAGTCGTGGCGCTCTTCAGCGAGCTTCGGAGAGGGACTGGTTAGCTGCTTTGTTATCCGAGGGCAGCAATGAGGATGTGAGCGCCGAGGGTCCACATAAAAGGAGAGGCACACGGGTAGGTATAATAGAGGAGAACCGACATGGAGTAATTCTATTTGCATGATAGCTCGGTGAGAGAACCCAGACAAGCAGCGCAGTAGCCACGTCACTCATTGCCCCGGGTGTTCGACCAAGCGCACGTCGTTCGTTGGGTATCCCTAGTGAAAGGGTAGTATTTGGTCGCTGGAGGGGGAGGGTGTATTTGCCTCCGCCTTCGGTTGTTACGTTTCTAGGTTTTTCCTGTTCCAAGTGCTTCAAATGTTTCTTCCTTTCACTCCCTCCAGTTCGACGACAGTTTTCTAGAGAAAACTAGAGAACCCTGCGTAGAAAAAAGGTAGAATGGTAAAGGGTAGAAAGGTAAAAAGGTAGAAAAAAGGGAAAATTCTGAGAAGACGGTGGTAGACATGACCTAGGAACGGAAGTTTTGTACCAGAGGAGGAAACTCTGAGTAAGGTCGTACTTCTTGCAAAAATTGTCCGTAACGGCAGAGCGTGTATTGTTACGTGTGTTATTACATATGACAAGACAATCGTGGAATGCCAGAGTGGTGGGCGTGGCAAGCGACGCCACGCTAAGAGACAGCTGTTTCGCCTCGCCGTTTGAACTTCAGTGCTAAAGAGACGGGAAGGAGCTATATTATTTGGCTGGAGGATAGAAGCGCCTTTGCTCAATTCTACATG